TTTTGGTTTTGTTTGTTTGAGGTCTGGCCCAGAATTCTTGGCCTTGTAAGGTTTATCTTTTTCTGGGGTGGGATAATCAACGGATGTATCGCCACCCCAGTGGTTAAAAGCCTTGCCATAAAACGCCCCATATGCCTTGTGTCCTGGGTTCGAGCCCCAGCGAGGCATTTTTGCGCTTTGTTTTTTTTTCTTTTCTTCATGTTTATTATTTTATTCTTTCTTTCCATTACTTTCCAAGGCGCGCGTAAGTGCTCTAGTGGTAGTGGTGTATGTTTGTAAACATAAGGGCGTGGGTTCAATCCCCACCCACGCCCTTTCCTTTTTAATTGCTTGTTTATTTATTTTATTATCATGAAATCAATCAAACTTCAAAATTCCCTAATTTATTCGTTGTTTATCAGTTTTAATCCGTTCTTTTTGCAAACTCTTCATTGTGATGTCTAGTTTTGTTTGGTAGATTGAAATCTCATGATTATTTATTTTAACAATGCTTGTGTCTGCTTGTTAGTAGATCCACTTTTAGGTCGTCACCTTGCGCCTCGATTTAAATTCTCCCCATACCATGTTTATTTTTCTTGTAAGATTCATTGGCATTTGTTTATGTTTGTCAACCTGTTGAGTTTTCATCTTTTATTAGTTGTTACCATGAATGTTTATACCTCCTAAATTACGAGGCTAAACTAATTTAATTATGTGAGATTGTTATCTATGCATATTGTTGTTACGCTTTGAGTTTATAACGTGATTTGTTTTCAAATTGTTATTTGTTTACATGGTTGTCACCTTCATCATGTTTTCATAATCCTTGTTAAAACCGTACTTTCAATCTTTGTTAAGATGTGCCTATATCTTTGTCAAGACATGCTTATTGTAATATGCTTACCATGCTTGATCGTAACCGTTCATCCTACTCAAAATACTTGCTCATTGTAATGCGTTGGTTAATCCTTGATTATAATCATGTCTTCTATATTTCTCATGCTTGAATGTGTTTATACCTTGTTAAATTATTCCCCAAGTGATGGAACTTTTTAATTCTCATCCAGTTGCCCACTATCTCCCCCCTCCAAAGGAAAAGTCTCTCCATTGTCTCTTGTGTCATGGATAGCTTATTATCCCTTTTGACTTTGTAAAGTCATATTGAATCTTAGTTAAGATTAGAACCCATAAGCCATTAGACTTTGCCTAAGTCTAAAAGACCCACCTTTACTAGGAGTGTTCCTCAACTAGAACCCTAGGTTAGAGTTTGTTAACTCTATATAAGAATCATGGTAATGATTACTTATTTCCCCTTTGAGTGTTGCAACATAGATCTAGAGAGTTTTGTGAAACTCTACACAAGCATTGTTATGTTTGTCCCCCTTGGAACCTTGATCATAATCAAGCGTTCTTCAACCCTAGTGAGGTGAACTACGATTGCTCTGATTCTATCCTAGTTAGGATACGTAGGCAGAGGACGCGATGTCTTTGCGAGCAAACTTAGAAACTATCTTTAGGTCTTAACCTACACCTTTTACCCAATCCCAATCCATAGCAAATATTTAACAAACTTAGCATGCAAACAAACAAAAGGTTCCTGTAGAGTACTACAGATGTTTAGGATGTGAAATACCTACCCTATGCATAACCAACCCCCGATCCCCGAATCTCTTAGCGTTGTTATAACATCGCGCAAAAGGTTCTTTCTTTCTCTAGACCTTTCCTTTGGATAAATTAAAGTCCGGTTGTAAAAGAATTAAGGTTCAAGTTAATTCAATAGCTTGATATCCGATTTTCACCGCAACAAATAGCATTCCATATGCTAACATAGTAGGTTCTTTGATGTATGTTATGGTCTGTACTAGACCCGACATAGCATATGCAGTAAGTCTTGTAAGCAGGTACATGGTGAATCCTGGAAAGGCTCACTAGCAAGCATTGAAGTGGATTTTAAGGTACATAAATGGATTTTTGAATAGAATCCTAATTTATGGTGGAACCTTGGGTGAATATTGTAAAGCAACAATCGAAGGATATGTCGACTCTGATTATGCAGGTTGTATGGATTCCAGAAAATCTATCTCTGGATATGTGTTCACTATATTTGGGACAGCAATCAGTTGGAAAGCAACACTTCAGAAGGTCGTTGCCTTATCAACCACTAAAGCGAAGTATATTGCCCTAACTGAAGATGTGAAGGAAGCATTGTGGCTTGAAGGTTTTGCAAAGGAGTTAAAACTTCAAGGTCGAGTTATCACTGTTAAATGTGATAGTCAAAGTGCAATACACCTGTCGAACAATTCAGCCTATCATGAGCGAACCAAGCACATTGATGTGAGGCTGCATTTCATCAGAGGGGTAATCGAGCATGGAGAAGTCCAAGTGCTGAAGGTTTCGACAGATCATAATGCTGGTGATATAATCACCAAGACGTTGCCCAGTTGCAAGTTTTTCCACTATAAGCAGTTAATAAAGCTGCATGAAGAAAGCTAGTTTCTTGATGTTATAGAGTTAGATCCAAGGTGAAGAATTATGAGATGTTGGATCGAACTCTAGTATGGTCGAAGTCTGTTCGCAAGTAATGCATGTTGTAGTCGAAGTTTGTTCTAACATGCATTTGTCAATATTGTTAGGGTTGTTAGCATGTTGAATTGGGTCTTGCTTGTAAGACCAATTGTTTAAGTTAGCTTGTACCCTAAGTTAGCTTGTAATGGATAATTGTTAAAAAGTCCATTAGGTTAGTGTGCTATTTTTCTTATAAATAGGATACTAGTTTCTCAATCTTGTCATAAGGAAAAATAGGAAGATAAAATCCTAATTTCAAGAGAGAGAGGTTATTTTGTTATTCTTGTATACTTGTAATCTTGTTCTAAGAGAAAGGAAAGAATAGCAGTTTAATAACCAATCCTTGTTGTTTTCTTCTTTATTAACCCTAACCCTTGTGTGTTTCTTGATCATTAAGAAACTGTTTATACTTAGGTTTAAGGTATCCGATTCACAACAGATACCTTAAGAGCTATTGTTTTGCGAAAATTCTTGAGAATAGATTATACTACACCACTCATAAGCTTGAGAATAGAAATGCAATATGGTGTGTATTGTCTTTCCAAGAAATCAAATAGATGTGGGTTTGATTCTTGTAGAAGGCATAATTTTAAGATTATTTTTTTGGAATTTTAGTGAGCTTGTTAAAGAACATATGTCACACGTATAAACACATGTCACGTGACATGTCAGATGCCACACATGTAGAAATAGACGTCAGAATCTAAATGATATCGTTTGAAGACATAAGAGATTATATTAGTCTTTAGAAAAATTAAGGGAGCAAAATAGACCCGAGGTAAAATTAAGAGACTAAAAGGGATATTTTATCTTGTTTTTGTCTCTAAACCTACTATATCTTTTCTTAAAATAGAAAATAAAAATTGACTCAAATAAATAGATAGTCTTAGATAAAAGTAAAATATTTTAATTCAAACCTTGTCTTCCCCTTCTTCTCCTTATTACTATGAGAACCTTGTTAAATCTATCAAATATGAACAATGCAATATTTTACAAAATAGAAATTAAGATACGCACAACAAAATTTATAAGTTTATCAAAGAAAGAGATACTCTTAAAATAAAGTTGGTCTAGACTATAAACTTAAAAACAATGCTAAACTTTTTAGTAATATATGACATGCAAATAGGACATGTAAATGCAATATTCTTAAATGTAATTACTGTAGTAAAAATGATCATTTTGTTTTATTATGTTTTTATTATTAATAAAAGTCATGAAATCAAAAAATATATATTCTCCTTCACATATCTATTTTATCATACCTAGAGAAAATATACATTATACTAACGTTAGAGAATCCAAAATGATTTGAGTATCTAAAGTTAAGACTTAAATTTATAATGTAGGTATGTTTAATGATATCGAACATGAAATGCCATCTTCATAGTGATTTTCCAAACATGTGTTTTGAAAAGATAGCTTATGTGACATGTCAAAAGAGTTAACAAGTAAATTCATCCTTTAAATCGAAAAATATTATTTCTACAAATAGATTTTTATAACTCTTGCATGTAGATCTTTTTGATCCATCCTAAACCATATGTTTTATTAGGAATCACTATATCTTTTTAATAGTTGATGACTATTCTCGTTATACCTATACGATTTTCCTATCTCATAAAAGAGATGCGTTTGTCGTCTTTTAAAAATTAATCAAAGATATCCACACAAAAAAAATCTAAACCCTGCGTCTATCATAAGCGATCAAAGAGATGAATCTAAAAATACAAAATTCAAAAACTTTTATAACAAAAATGAAATTAAACACAATTCTTATGATCCACAAACTCAAACTGTCCACAAAAGGAAGAGGTTTAAAGAATGGAAAAATCTCTTAAGACCTAACAAGATGAAGTCCATATATAATCGTCACTTTGCCTTGATCAGATAAAATATGAGACAAGATATTTGAAATAAATAAATTTTGATCATATATAATAGGCACAACGGGACCAAATAAACTTGATCAATAATTAAAGTCATAATTGAAACAAGAAATTATTCTTTTATTCAACAAACTTTATAGTAATACCATAAACAAGCTTACACTTGTTTCAAATTATACATCTATGAACAATTGCAAACAATTACACATTTCCAACAAAGTCTTCTTCAACAACTATATAACACAAATTTTTTTCACATTTCTATCCCATCCATTTTCTTTCTATTCCAACCCCCACATATTTATTTAGTGCTACAATGCAATAACATTAATAAGTAATAACGCCATGGCCCATTAAGATTTCTTTCTCCCTAACTAGCCCAAAGCATATATAAAATCAAATAAGTTGATCAAGAGAAATTCTTATATAAACACTTTAATTATAACCATGATCAATCAAAAAATCAAAATACAATTTATTTTAATGTATTTCTCATTTTGCTTGTTGGATATATGTGTTCAAATAAGAATGCTTCATTGATCAAAATATTCAAAACAAACTTCACTTTCACTTACAACCATTGTAACCAAATCCAATCTTACCACCACCAACATCATAAACAACCTCTAGTGTCCTTTGTTGCACATTCCCAAAGATGGTAACATCACTATCATCACCATTTGCCGCAAACGCCAAACAAACTTGCTTCAAACTCGCCGCGTAAAGTATCCCCGGCGCGGGGATTTCCACCGTGTTACCTCCGCCGAGGAAAAAACTAACCTTTGGAATAGACACAATCTTGGTCCCGCTAAGATCATAGCATGTGTCTAGAATCGAAAGAGCTGATGCATTCGGATACTTCGCCATGCCTTGGCGAAAGTTATCGCGAAGGCTGGCGTATACGGTTGGTGGCAGCCGTGTAATGACAGTGCCAGAGTCGATAATGGCGCCGCCGGAGGTGAAAAGAGAGGCCGAGATTGGAAGCTTGGTTCCACCGACGCTGATTCCAGAAATGTCGAGTCCGTAGAAGGAACTACTACTGGAAGTGGTGAAAGGAGTGTATTTTACGTACTTGTTACGGGTGGCGCCGAATGTGAGGTGGCCAACCGCGCTTGAAGTGGAGGGAAGACAATAAGAAAAAGCTTTATAGTATTTTTGAGAGGTTTGTTGGACAAACGAGATTGGATGACGACCAAGGCCTAACAAACCGGCCGAGCCACCGAATAGGCCTTGGTTGTTTTGTCCACAACCAAATAGAAAACCATCGATAGCATCGGTCGAAGTCACACTCAGCCGTTCGCGGCTGAAGTATCCGACCGAGAAAGATTGATCACCATACTGGATCCCATATATGCATGCTTTTGTCGATGAAGAACAGCCCGGATCATTTCCTATAAAAAATAAACATACAATTTACACCACAAAGTAAAAAATGTTACAAAATATAATAACACACGTATAAAATATTTACACTGACAATATTTTGATAAATGATGTTTTTAATTTTAAAATACTGACATTGCACTATCTTTAAACAGGTAAATATATACCTGTAGCTGAAGAGAGTTGAGTACAATCTGGAGAAGTACATGTGATATTGTAATAAGAAGAAGACTTTGATGGATCAAATATTTCATCTATTTGTTTGTAACAAGAACGAGCACAAGGTTCACATTGAGTCCAAGTCAGATCACTCCCAGTATCAAAAATAAGTGATAAATCCTTTTTAGGAGTACCAAGTCCAAGAACAACATAATAGTTTCCTGATCCAATTAAGCTACCAGATTTTGCTGGTAAATTAGCTGAAGAAGAAGAATCCAATTCTATTTCCACCTTATTGTTGTTATTGTTATTGGATGATGATGATAATAGCTTTGAGTGAATATAGCTTATTCTTTCTTTGTCATGATTTAGAATTTCACTATGTGTTGGAATAGAATTTGCTTTTCCAATGTTATTCAGTTGGGAACATGGACCATGTTTGTGTAATACATCTAATGATGCTTTTCTTTTTGGACCTGAAATCAGAAAATGAATCAACCATGTTTAGTGGTGTCAAATTATTGTTGCTTAACCATTACTTTAAAATTAATAAAAATAAAAATAAAAATTCAATAATTAATTTCATATTTGCATAAATTATTCTAAGGATGAGAATGACTCTACCAAAGGAATCTAGAGATATTGGAAACATATCTCTCAAAGACTTAAAGACAAAATCTTATCTTTAATTTGTTATATATCTATATTTATTTATATCAAGTGAGTGTTATTTATACTCAAGAATAATTGTTTAATATTATTAGTTAGGTACATATAAATAACTAAATACCCCATAATCCACAATGAAATTTAATATAGTTTTTATTAAAAAATATTACTTTTCCAACTTATAGTTTTCCCACTACTCTAGCTCCAAAAATATTCATTAATACGACAAATAATTATCACAAACAATAGATTAATTCTCTTATACTCTCATCTTGTTAAATCATTGAGCAAACTCTAAAAAAAAATGGTTTCTTTTACGCGTATGAAAATTGGAGAAAAGTTGAATCTTTTGGCCAAATTTTGTCAATATCTTCAACTATATAAAACTTGTCTAAGAGAATAGCTTTTTTGGGTAGAGAAACATTACGTGTTGTAAAAGTGAAAACTAGCCACTTGTTATTTGTTTTTTATTTATATTGAGTTGGTGCCAAACGTGAATAAATTTTGTATTTTTTCTTCTTTCATGAAGATAAATTATTATAAATAAATGAACAAAATACAATGCACAAGTTATGAATTCTTCGAGTTTAGTGTATGTATACAAAGTTTGTAATAGTGATCAATGACCCGTGAATGTTATGAGTGTTTACGTCAAAACCTCCAAATAGTGTCTTATATATTGATTGAATGTGGTTCATCAGGACCCGTGATTATAAACAACATTTTGTCCTTATTAAATAAGAGAAAAAACAATATACTAGTAAGAAACTTTTGCACTTCATAGTTAAATATTGAATTCTTCAAATACTGAATGGATCGAAAAAGATTATAATAAACAGCAAAACTCTATTTCAACGTGTTTGATCGAAGTGATTTTAACCATCTCAGTCAAAAAAAAAATTATGTTAGTTTTATCTATATTGGTTTTATGTGTCTCTGTTTTTTTTTATATTAGAAAAACTTGTAATTAATTGTTAATATAAATAAAATTGATTATTGAAATAAGAATTATGTGAGTGGTAGGTGGCTTTTGTTCCTTTATCCTTCCTATCTTTAATATGTGATAGTGGGTTCCATTCTTTTTAACCATTAACCAAACCAAGTAGTAACCTTTCATTAGCACAATATAGTGGGTTCCATGTGAATATTCTCGTGATAGAATGATGCCAACCATTGAAACAAATTGACATAATTCAATAAATTTAAGTAGGTTCTCTAATTAATATTAAAAATATATATATAATTTTATTTATTTATTAAATGATTGATGTATCTAGTTTAATATATGGACTAAATACATATTAACATAAAAATGAATTTTCATTTATAATAATAATAATGGTAGTAAGAGTATCAAAATACATTGAGGTAAAAAAAAAAAACTATAAGTATGAAGAGAAAAAAAAAACATTAATTTTCATTTTATGTGTTGTTGTCTAATTTTTCCAATGAATTGACTATGTAGTTAAATAGAAAAAAAAAAGTTCTAATTAAATTTCCATTTACTATATGCCACTACTAATTATTATGTATCTCAATTTACTTGGTAAATATTCTAGTCATATTATTATAAATAAACAACTATTTTTTTAATTATGTTGAATAATCAATACATAGGACAAACACACCAGTTATTAATTCAATAAAAAAAATAGTTATAATAGTAGTTAGAAAACATAAAGATTAACAATAAATTAACATAAGTTTCTAGCATGCATGTAACTAAAAACACTCCAACAATAGTTAAGCTTAACCCATTGGAGGAGAGGGAAATTAACATGAAAAAATAAATTGACCTTTGGTTGAAGAACTGCAAGAAGATGATGGTAAGAGAGAGTTGATTTGAACAAGATGGTGTCTTTCTTTCCATGAAGCTTCTTCAATGGAAACACCTTTCTCCAAAAAACAAAAGAAAAAGAGAACCACAAGAAGAGAAAGCAACAAGAAATGAGACATTGGGAAAGCCATACTAAGTAGATGCTTTTGAACACACTACTTGTCGGGTGCTTGGTTTTTATAGAACTAAATTATGGATGTAGGACCAATAAATGATCAATTTCACACGTCACATATTATATATAACGAACCAAACTATTTCGTTGAGTTGAGCTTTGAGTACTATATATCAATACTATTCATTAGTATGTGCGACACATTTTGAATAAGTTGACTTGTGTGAAAACATAATGTGGATTTTTAACAATTTCTAGATGCAGGCCAGGACATGGTGCAATGATGTTCTTTGTGTTAAAATTATGAAATAATTAATTGTCGAAATTAATGATACACATGATAGTGAATTAATTTAATATCTCAATGATATGGAGAAAAAAAACATTATCTTATGGTGTCTTTTCAGCCATTTCGGATAGAACATCGTTAAAGTGTCTAATTAATAGAGCATGTCTAAAAAAAAGTTTAGAAGATCAACGTGACTCTCGTTATAGGCTGGATCATGTCTAACAAGATTCATTATCTTATACATCATTTCATTGTTGTGTTTCAAATTCTATACTTAAATATTCATCACGTTGATATATTTGAAAGGTTTTAATATTATTTCCTATTTGATTTTGTATTTTATTTTTGAATGCGTTAAACTTTTCAAATGAGTTTTTTGTGAATCAGATGTCTTGAAACAAAGTATAAACAGTTTCTTTATGATCAAGAAACACACAAGGGTTAGGGTTAACAAAGAAAACAAGGTAAAACAACAAGGAACAACAAAGATTGGTTATAAACTGCCATTTTTTCCTTACTCTTAGAACAAGATGACAAGTATACAAAAATAACAAAATAACCTCTCTCTCTCTCTCTCTCTCTCTCTCTCTTGAAATTAGGATTTTATCTTTCTATTTTTCCTTATGCCAAGATTGAGAAACTAGCATCCTATTTATAAGAAAAATAGCACACAAAACTAATGAGTTTTTTAACGATTGCCTATTACAAGCTAACTTAAGGTACAAGCTAACTTAAACAATTGGGCTTACAAGCAAGGTCCAATTCAACATGCTAAAAACCCTAGCAATATTGACTAATGCATGTTAGAATAAACTTCGACTACAACACGCATTACTCCAACAGCAGCATGCGAACATACTTTGATCTCATGCTTAATTCCTGTCGAACCAGAAGCTACCCTTCGACCATACTAGAGTTCGATCCAACATCTCACAAATATCCACCTTGAATCTAACTCTATAACATCAAGAGACTAGCTTTCTTCATGCATCCTTTGACTTGAGGTAGGATTCATTTAGAACCTTGTAAAGCTGAGAGGACCCATAAGATAGGGAACCCAGTGGGGTTATTATATCACCCCATGTTGTTAATTATCTTTCAAGTAGTTCGAATTCTTTGAGGACAAAGTTGATCGATGTCCTTACTTGTCTTAACTTTTTAGGGGACTTTTCCGCTGCGAAGACTCCATTTTTGAGATTATTTGATATGATCTAGTTCTTAGTTATTTTGGATATCTTGTATATATTTATGCCACTTTTAGTATTTTGGCATGTTGGGCATGTAATATGTATAACGTGTCACTAGGAACTTATGTATATTTCAGTACCAAATTTCCAACCATGTATAATATGAATTATTCTAGACATATATTATATGTGGGTATTACAATTGATAATGGGAATCATGTTATTATTATTGAAAATCTGATTTCTGAAGAAGAAACCTACGAGGAAGAGGTAGTTGATGATGAGAATCAACAATATAACCATGACTATTGAGTGAAGTTAAATATTCCATTATTCTATGGAACGATGGCAGTGGAGGAATTTCTAGATTGTAAAATCGAACGTTGATTGGTTCTTCGGTGTTATGGGTGTCCCTAAGAACAAGAAAGTTAAGATGACGGCGATCAGGATGAAGAGTAATGTTATTGTCTGGTAGGATGAACTTGTTGTTCAGAGATAGAGGCAAAGGAATTGGCCAATCAAAACTTGGCGAAGAATGAAATAATTGATGTTGGAGCAGGTTTTATTGGAGGATTATGAACTGATTCTTTCTAAATAGTTTGACACATAAGTGGCTTAATGAGGTCCTTGTAGAAGAAGATGGGTTTACAAACTATATGAACCATGGTTGAAGCATCCATTCTAGATTTGAAGGAATAATTGATGGAGGAATCCCCTCGAAATTTCTCATCTTTTAGAAGGTATTTGCCCTAGAAAAACTTTGAATCAGTAGGTGACAAGGAAAAGAGTGCAAAAACTAAGGATCTCAACCCTGAAAATAAATGGGCTAACAACTCTAACAGTGTGCATTAGGGTAAATCACCAGTCAAGAGGCTAAACTCCAAAGGTTAATCTATTATTTTAGAATTTCATCAAGACTTTGAGATTATTATATTATCAATTTTTATTCAATTCCTTTCCATCTTCTTTTGTGTATTCTTTTTTATTTAATTCGAGTTGCACATAATAATGTTGATTAAACTTGATCGATGCATGTTCCTTAACTTTGAGTGTTAATTTAGCTTATTCGTTAACTTTGTCTGATCTTCAATTGTCATGCTTAATGCGAAAAATAAGAATATAATTCACATAGTGTTGATCACGCTTGTTAATTGATACTATAATCATGTAGGAATTGGATCCTCTTAGGGAATTGGTGATATAATAATCGGTGATAAGTCTGAGTTACCAAACCAGCAGATTAATCTGTTAATCATAATTGTAATCATTTTCTTTATTTTCAGTTGTCCGAAAACCTAAAACCCCCTTTGCGTTTCTTTCCTTTGGTTAAATTAACTTATAGTCCTTGCGATACGAATCGAGTGTCGCTTTCATATAATACCCTTATAAGCTCGTTTTTGACTCGTGTGCGATAATGAATAAAATTGACATTGTTGTCGAGGACTCTGTTAATTTTAGCCAATTTTAGAATCCTAATTTATAGTCTTGTTAGCAATTTTTTGTTTTTTTAGGGTTGCAGTATAGTGGTTAGTATATCAGCCAATCATATGACTCTGTAAACTACTATTTCGAATGCTCTGAATTTTTTTCCACAAAATCAGAAAAAAAAATCAACAAATATTACACCATTTGAAGAGACATCTAAGAGAAATTGACCCTAAAAATTGCATATTCTTCATTTTTTAATTTTTAATTTTTTGATTTATTTTCTATTTTCATATCCTCAAAAAAATCCAAAAAAAAATTGTAGATTCGTTATTTGATTTTATTTTACTTTTAGTCATATTTTCATAATTTTTAGATTTTATTTTAATTATTTTTCTATTTTTCCATTCTTTTTCTCAATAGGGACATTGCTAGCATTTTCATAATTGTTGCATTGTAGTGCTTTCTAATTTTATTTAATTATGTATTAATTTTGCATTCTTTTAATTCTCATTAGTGATAGTGATTTTATTTGATTATGTGTTAATTTGATAATTATATCATGGCTGATCAAATTAGAACCTTAAGAGAATTTACTTCACTTGATTCTCTTTTTGCTGATTTCCTTTCTTTGTCTGACTTTGATGACACTTATACTTATGATATTTGTACCGATATTCACTTATGTTCAGTTTTTGTTTAAATTAAAGCTGTCTTACAAGTTGATATTTCTTATGAAATTTCTATTGACAAAGTTGATGTTACAAATGTAAATGTAGCGCTTGTTGCCAAAAGCTTATCATCTATTGTGCAACCAGCTACTTTAAAGCTAAAGTAACTCCCTATGTTTTTAGAATTTAATAAAAATTTGCTTGCAATAACTTTAGATAAACTTGAACTAGAACAGGAACAAAAGTTGTTGCAGTTATTGGAGGAATATTAGAAAGAAATTGGATGGAACTTGGATAACATTCATGGTATTAGCTCATCAATGTGTATGCATCAGATCTTATTTGAAGATGGAGCTAAAGTAGTGATAAATCCTAAAATTAAACCCTTGATTTTGGATGTTGTGAAAAATGAAATCTATATTGGACTAGAGTGTAAAGAGAATACCACTTTCACTTTCCCATTAGACAATTTTACCTATAAAAGAATATTTTTTTATCCTGGAATAAAAAGTGAAGACACTGATAAAAAATTTAAAATCAATGGACACGCCTTAAGCTATTCCATAAGAGTCCCACATTGGAAGAAAAAACTGTAGAAGAGCTCTCATTAGAAAAAACTACTTATGTAGTCATCTATTTGCCTTGACTCCTCGGGTGTTTTCTATCCTCTCTCTTATTTTATATTTGATTATTTCATTGAGGATATTGTGTGTTTTGAGTGTGGGGGAGGGATGTCATTTACTTTTTTTGTTTTGTTTTCTTCATTTACTTTTGTTGTTTTGTTTTCTTATTAAACAAATTATTAATTCCATAGTTTTTCTTTTGTTTTTGGGATTGCAAATTTGAGTAATTTCATTGTTCTCTTGACTAAAGATTCATGGTGTGATGTGAGTAATTTTGTTTTTTGTTTTTTTAGTATGATAAGTAGGACTAAATTCTAAATTATGCATCATTTGTGGTTGATCAATGTCCTTTGTGAGATTTTGAGACTTATAATAGATAACATACAAAAATTCATTTCTTTCTTTCTTGCGTGATCTCACTCATGTCTATTAGTTACTCTAGAACTTGACATGACAATTGTTGAAACTTTTTGTTTACTTACGCAAACTGATACGATAAAGACATTTTGTTTCTGTTTTACTTTTTAGCCACTTAGCCAAAAATTCAACCTTGAAATTATCATCCTTTTTTTGAAACCTCATTGAGCCTATTTATTCTATTTTTTGTTTATAACTCATAACAAGCCTAAAAATGAAAAATAATAGTATGACACTATTTAAGGGGGTGAATGAGTCTTGTTTGGAGTTGTGTGAGAGTTTAAATTAGATTTTGTGATATTTCAACAGTTGACAGAACAAGAAAAAAAAGAAGAAAAAAAAGAAGGAAGAAAATTCATATTATTATTCATTCTGAAAAAAAAAAGAGAGAAGAGAAAACGGTT